TTAAAAATGTAATCAATAATAAGTCTTAAACACATGTGTCTGCAGATTATATTAAGTTTTCATGAACTTTGTACAAACCATTTTTGAGTTATTTCCATTTAAAAATCGTCAATAAAATCCAATATGGCCGCCGTCACCATGGCAACGGAGGATTTATAAAATAAAAAAAAAAATTTTTATGCTTAACTCTTTGAGTTATAACTATATGCCAAGTATTACATCTTTAGACTTGGAAATAAAGAAGTTGGTACTCATCACCCGCCCATGCCCTTAAATTTAAAAAGCCCAACTATTACTAATGGTCTAGAGATCAGTCAAGATGTAATGTACACTTACCAAGGAACGTGTATGGTATTTAATTTTTCCAAAATAATCTAAGTTTACATGATTCTTAAAATGGTTTTGCTGATTCAAAAAATGCAGTTTTGATGGTTGTTTGTGTTGTCCTGTATGTACACCAGCTTTTCATTTTAGTTAATTTAAATAGGATGTAAATTTTCATTTTCAGATTTGACATAGGGCAGATGAAGTAGAGTTGACTAGCTTTTTAATGCTTATTGCAGCAAAAGTGTAGTCATCATTATAACAAGTGTACATATTGCACTTTTGAGCATCAGAACTGAAAGGGACAGATTATTTTGAGAATGTCCAGCTGATTTCATTGACGTAGTTGGCCTTGCAGTAGTGGTTGGTGTAGTCGTTGTAGTTGCACATGTGGTAGTGGTGGTAGCTCGTGTGGTTGTGGTAGTCATTGGTGTAGTTGTAGTAGTTGGTGGGTTAGTTGTAGTAGGTGGAAGTGTAGTTGTTGTGGACGGTAGGGCATCTGAAATAGTAACATGAGAGTTCAACATTCAATTATGCTAAATCAACGTAGGCTTGAATAATTGTTATAGACACAAAAAACACAGCATAATTCTTTCGAAAAACTCGTCTTTTACTGAATTTAATATTACTTTATTGCTTTTCGTTAACTCACGAAAAATGTGAATTGAAGAATGAAATTTCAAAAATACGCTTGACTATTAAGAGCCATTAGCAAAATATTCTAGTACAAATACGTCAAGTTAAATTTTAAAAAAAATAACATAATTTTAAAACATGGTATAGACTAAATAAATCTATTTTTATGAAGTAGTTGCATAATCAGTAGCGTACGCAGGGGGGAGCAGGGGGAGCGGCCGCTCCCCCTCTGGTAATTTTTAGCAAAGTGGCGCCTTTTTAGAAACTTTTTAAACTCAAAGTTTTAAAAATTGATATTTGTTAAAAAATTATCTTTGGTCGGCACATCTATGCAAATCACAAGGTTTATTTCATGCAGCAATTAATTATATCAGTAATAGACTAGTAGAGACAACGTTTACAACACGTATTAGCAGCTGTATCAGTTTGTCATTACGATGCAATTACTTTATATATACAGTTTAAATCGTGTAATTTATTTTTTTTTAATTACAATACAGACACAAATACAACTAATGTGGCACCTCTATTTAAATTTACTTATGGGCGAACTGCGTAGCGGTGGGGAAATTTTGACAAGGTCAACAACGTCTTCACGATAAAGTAGTAGTATTATGACAGTTTAATTACGATTACAAATTATATGAAACAGTATCAACTTTCTATTAATTATTATTTTAGTTTACTCGATCTAGATCTATATTATATTTGAATAATGCTGTATTTTGTATTAAAAAACAACTCAATTTAAACTAACACTGATCGCACAGTTAATTATCCGCTACTTATTTAAATCTATTTTCGAATCAGTATACATGCGTAATTGAATATGTATGGGGTCGTCCATAAATGACGTCACACTCGTAGGGGGGAGGGGGTCCGTAATTTTGTGACGGTGTGTGATGGAGGGGGGGGGGGTGGTTCAGATGGTGCGACGTAACACTTTTGCATTATAAAAAAGCAATGTTAGAAAACGAATTTTAGACGTTATTTTGCGTTTTTAGAAAACTGTTTTAATAAATTGTAATAACAATTGATTAACATACTCTATTTTGACAGAGTTCAGACAAGATTTTGGAAATATAGCTGTTTAAAAAAATCAATTTTGAGGGGGGGGGGTTGTAGGCTGAGGTTTGACGTAATTTTAGGGGGGGGGGGGGTCTGGTTTTTTGTGACAAGGTGTGACGGAGGGGAGAGGGGGAGGTATGGATGACCCCTATGTTTAGAACAGTCATCTAAAACTGACGCTATGTTCACTCTGAGCTGGTTATCCACCCCCACCTCACCACAACAATTGTGTAGAGCGACATTAATGTCACACCTAGGTATACGCTGGGTTGGATAATTGACCTAAAGTGACCGGACAGTGGTGAATGAAGTTAAACCCCTTCTCACCCAACCCACCTAGAGCTGATCTGTTAAGTACATATGGGAAAACGCGTAATGATGTACGAAAGTACCATGCCGAAAGAATCATTGCTTTTGAAACATAAATCTCTTTGAATATTGTTTTTGCAATTACCAGTAAAAGGTGCGTGAGCAATACAATGATTATAACCCATACCCTTCTCATTATGTTAAAAAATTATCTTTAAAGAACACAAAAAAGGCTTTAGCAAATTTTAGTTATATGTAGGTTAATAATCCGAATGTTTTACTTTTACATTGAAAAGCTGGCTTTTATACCAACTCTTATTTAAAAAACTTTCATAATGCTGTAATACTTTAGCATTTATGATGACAATATATTTAATTCTGATTGTAGACAAAATATTTTTGTAAAAACGAATAGTGTTAAACTACTTTATTAGAATTTTAGGTAATTATTGATTTGTTTAATAATAAAATGTGTAGACATATACATATTTATATTAAGATATTGATAGTTTCCCCTTTTCGATTGTCTTAATAAATGTCCCAGGAATTATTATATAATTTTTTTTTACAAGGATTACGAAACAGATTATGCTGCGTTCATTGTTTTTTTGTTGTAATGTAATATATATATATATATATATATATATATATATATATATATATATATATATATATATATATATATATATATATATATATATATATATATATATATATATATATATATAGACTTATATAGAAGATATTTCAAATTCGGCGCCTTTTTTGCTATTTTCGCCCCCCCCCCCTACACCATAAACCTGGATACGCCTCTGTGCATAATATTTTGTTGACAACAAAACTGTATGCATCACATAATAAATAACACTTACATGCTATGCACCTAACAAACGAAGTGGTAACCCCGCTTGAAGATCCATCAATCACTCTAACTTTAAATGTGCATGTGGAGTTTTCATACATGTATCCCTCACATCTGGAGGGGTAATTTACTTTGCAAGCGGCGTCACAATCCTTTAGACAAAAGCATACAAAATAAAATATAATCTCCACCTCTAGAAATCACTAATCACTCATTATTACTCAAATGTGTGAATGCTTTTTTGAAGAGAATGATTAATCCCCGATGTTGTGATTATTCTGTTTTATTACTAGAAATAAAATGGGCCATAATATCAAATATGTTTATATACCATTAAAAAAAAAAAATCAGACGTTATAGTTTAGTCAGTTGTTACAACCGACTGTCCTATTGACTATTTCATCAAACATATTTTGAATAAAGACCTATAACAAATACATTGAATCTTTAATTTGTGTGTGTTTTAGGGGATAATACCAGAAATACAAATTTTAAATTTGGCTAAAGCTGAGAAGTACATTTACAAAAAGCCGTGTTTAACTTTTGCTCTATTGAAAAAACACTTAAGTTTACTATCACTACATTAAAGAAATTGCCTATTTTCAAGAAAAAAAAACATATTTACCAGATTTGTAATAGGTTGTGCTTGAACTAGAAAATGCGATTTTAGAGAGTAGAAAATTTGTTAAAAATTATAAATAAGTAAATAAATTGGCCTATATATATATATATATATATATATATATATATATATATATATATATATATATATATATATATATATATATTTATTTATTTATTTATTTATTTATTTATTTATATATATTTCTATTTATCATCATTTTCCTTTTCGTGCCAAAGACACATAGGGCAGATGAAAAAGAATCCATCTGCTTTACATATATATATATATATATATATATATATATTTATATATATATATATATATATCTTACCCAGTCTTTTACTGCAGATAAACGGATAGTTGTTGTAGCACCTGTCGTCGTTCCATCGATGTTTGTACTGGGCATATGGCAGCATGGTGGCGCAATCACTCCCCAGATTCCAATAGCTGGGCTCCAGTTGGTGTATGTCACACATGACCTGTCCGCCCATCTCCAGGCTCCTTCCCTGAGGTCATCACTCAAACCAATCCAGATCTCCGTTGTTAAGTTACTCAATTGGCCTTAAGTTTAAAAAAAAAGTAAAGATATATTAAGTTTATAATAAAGAAAAAGGTAAAGTTCCTTTTCCAACATGACGGTCAATGTGGCTAATGAGTTATAGACTTCTGTGACATCGGAATATAAGCAGATAATGTTGTCAACACTATACCCAGTAGCTTTTTATTCCTTGCCATTAATTAGGTACCATTCAGAGGTAGGTGAATTCAGGGATGATGTACCGACGTTAACTATGGTTATAACTCGATACTTTTGGGTTAGCAGTCGTATGCTCTACCACACAACCCAGGTTGTTATATGTGTGTAATGTATACCTAATGCAAATTACAAAATAAAGATTCAACACAGATTAAGATTAACCCGATGCTATTGTATGAGTTTAGTTTTAGAGTTTAGAAAGATTTACACATGAAATAACCGTGACACACAAAAAACAATACATGCTAATTCAAGTTATAAAAATAAATACCATGTTTGATATTTTTATAAATAATAGCGTGCCATTTTAAATAATTCACCTTAATTCTTATGCGACACATTATAGTATTGTTTGTCGTTTTTATTGTAATGTTGGACGTGATTTCCTCCAACATTATTCATTATAATATGTCAATTAGTTATTGGCCCTTGACTCTAATTTCAGCCTGCTTTTCGTTTTTGATTTAAGGGGGCAGTATCACCCAGACTAAGGGAGGGAAACAAAAATATTCACACAAAAAAACTATTCGACATACATATGTCAAAATTTTACAGCAGTAGTAACGTTTCATCTGCTATAATACAGTATATAAATTGTAGAGTATATGTATAGCAACATATTTTCAAAAAATTATTTTGTTAATATTTTATTACATTTTGAATTTTTTTGTGAACAATTTTTTGAAACCATAAGTAAAGTACTTAAAATTTGGTATAAACCTTCCTTGGGTTAATGACTTTAGATCAGGGGTCGGCAACCTTTTAAGACGGAAGAGCCAAAAGTTACAATTTTCAAAATTTCCCAGGTTTTAAAGAGCCACTATTTTTTTTTTATTTCAATATTTTATATTTTATTAGGATTAGGTAGATAAATATGAGTTGTTATTTAAAATAAATAGCTTCATATATGAAATAATATTTATTCATATAAAAACATACGCTTGTTTTGTCGGAATAATGAAATTAGTATTAAAAAAATAAAAATACAGGACTATCCCAATCCATTTTAGAAGCAAACTTTTTTTTTTCTTTACGGACACCACTGGCTCAGGAGATGTCTCCCGTTAGTCAGGCAGGTTTCAGCACCGCAAACTCCGACCAACTGGCTTGAATATTGGTTTGATTACCGTGTATCGGTCGCTTCTGTTCTTCGGCTATCATCTGACTTCCAGCCCACTGAACGCAGGGTGATCTAGTACCCCAATGCCCAATACCGCCCAGTACCCGGCTCAACAGTAGGAAGCTAATAACTAAAAAAACTTGGACAATGGACGGATGTTAGGGCTGGGCCCGGTGCTTAAGCGGCTGTACGTATACTTTCTACTGCACATATTTCTCAATGTTCTCTGATGAGTTTTTTCTTCTTTTTAAACTTGTGTTTCTTTACATTATAATATTTGTTATGAGTTTTGAAAATGAAATTATTTAAATATTACTTTTGTGCAAGGAGCTGGAGAGCCGCGTCTTGGCATCAAAAGAGCCGCATGCGGCTCGCGAGCCGCAGGTTGCCGACCCCTGCTTTAGACGGAACAAAAATCACAGCAATGTAATGAGGGATACATTTTTTAGAAAATATCAATTTATTTGGTCTGACTTTGAAAAATTCTAAAAATTGCAAAATTTGTCGCAATGGATATCTTCTAGTTCCAGCGATAGGCTATCCTGTTATGCATCTCCCAGTGTATTTTCAGCAGGAAGGGCCTAAATGTTGGCAAACCGCAGCCACAAATTACTTAGTAAAAATTTTTTGGTTAAATTATTTATAAAAAATGTTTGCATCATACCGTTAACTTTCTTTTATGTGCTTTTTTATAGCTCCTTATTAATTATTGTTATGGTAAAAAATGTATGTGTGTATGTGTAATTGTTTTTTTGGCACATTTTTTCGTCAATTTTCAAATGTCTGGGTGATACTGCCCCCTTAACGCGCTTACAGCTTGGTGTTTTCTAGGGTCTCCAAGAAGAGAATTATATATATAGATTGCTTCCATAGTTCTTGTCCACCCAAGAACAATCTACAAGGCAGCAGTTGTTTAATTTTCGAGTTTTCACTAATACATGTGTTTTTGTTCCAAGCTATCGAACTTCATCTGCCCAGTAGCGTAGCGAGGGGGGGGGGGGGCGGGGGGGGGGGGACATATGTCCCCCCGCCGACCTTAGGGGGCACCAAAATGGGTTGGAAAAATAAATTGAAAGGTTGAGGAGGTGCAAATCGAAAGTTTGAGGGGGGGGGGGGATGGGGCAAATCGATATCTTGAGGGGGGTGCAAATCGAAAAGTTTGTCCCCGGGCACCGGGAAGGGTTGCTACGCCTCTGCATCTGCCCCAGGTTTCAAAATCAGGGGCCCGTTGTGTAATATTTAAATTAATGAGAAGAAATAAGCTAAAATCAAAGTGTAAAAAAATATACAAAACATTTTTAAAAACCTATATTTTAATTTTCGTTACTACAATACGCAAAACATAATGAACGTATTAATGAACGTCTTAAAGACGTTACAATTATTTTTTTTAAATGAACAATTATACATATAAAAAGCCTATTTAACGATTGTAAATGTAAGATTTTATCTACGTTAGATAACATTTTAAACGAGCTTGATTTTGTTGAAAAGTTTGCTAATATTTTAAACGAAAGTTTCTTGTACCTGTTAAGTATGCCTGTTCATCGGCGCTTGAGATTGTAACTAAATTCCCTCCAAAAGACTCGCAGGCGTCCCTTGCATTAGTCCAGTTTTTAAAAGTAGAGGTTTCAAATCTGTAGCAGAAGTTGGTGTCTGCACGTAGTACCCAGCCAGGGCCACAGTCTGGAAAGTTAAAGATGTTCTCATTTTTAGAGAAACAGTGAAAACACTGAACCAGGAATCAAACTGGAGACTTTTGTGTTATAAGTCTACCCCTCTACCGCTATGTTGTTAGTGTTCATTTTTGAATAATTTATCATTATATATATATATATATATATATATATATATATATATATATATATATATATATATATATATATATATATATATATATATATATATATATATATGTGTGTGTGTGTGTGTGTGTGTGTTTGTGTGGGTGTAGGATATGTATAAATAATTTAAAAATGGTATAAAACGCACAAATATGTGCGTATAATATGTTTTTTTTATACATTACTCTGGGTAGGGGCCAGTTCCCACGAAGTAATAGAACACTTCTGAAACACTTCTTATAATGAGGTTGGTGCTGTAAGCACTTACCCTGAGCATATGATATAGTGAAGAGCAAAACAAGAGCAGCTAATGTATTCATGATTTCTTGTTTTCTGCAGAGGAATTGAATTGTTTTTTTTAAGTATTTTTAAGAATCTCGCTAACGCTCTCTTAACAATCTAGTTAAACGTTACGAAACTATAATTATTAAAGTACTACAAATGAAAAATCATGCAAATGTGCAATATTCTTATAAATATAAAGGAGGCAAAAAAAACTAAAATGATATGTGGGGAATAAACGTACTTGTATCTTTAAAATAAAGGCGGAGGAGATAAAATTTCTAGGCACAATCGGACAAGCACCACTAAAGAGATGGTTTGGTTGCAGGAATTTTAGGTCGATTAAAACGAATAACTATATAAATAAATTACTATTTTTTTTCAATAAGATAAAAAAAATCAATTAAAAAATGAAAAGACAATTTCTAAAGTAATTGTTAAGAAAAAAATAATGTCGTCGAATTAGAGTAATATATTTATTTTTTATTGTTTTTTTCAGTAAATTGTCATTTTCTGAGATATTACGTTTGAGAGAAGGCAACATATTATATATATATATATATATATATATATATATATATATATATATATATATATATATATATATTCATATACATATATATATATCCTTCACAAAATTACTTATTAACACATGTAAACGTTATAAAAATCTATTATAAAAAGAAGTTAACTTAATGTATTACATTTTTTGAATTACTAAATGTCAACCTTAAAATACTAGTTATAAAAAAAAAATATTTTTGAAACTATCTAATACATTGCTTAAAGACAACAGTTCATAGTACTAACCAAATATTATTAGCGATTAAACAGCCAGATAATACTACAGCAGCGCATGCAGTCCTTTTTATACGTTAATTTTAAATCAGCTGCCAATCGTATTTCTATAAACCCACACGTTGTTAAAACCCAGAGGAGTGCGTGGGACTATTTTGAATAAGTTATACATGCAATACAAAAGAAATAGAATAAAATTATCTCACTCCCACACATTTTATAGACAACTCTTTTTAGTATAGGTACAGTTTTAATTTATTCTATATATAATTTTTAATTTATTCTATGTATATATATATATATATATATATATATATATATATATATATAATCAGATGTTAAAGTAATGTTTACGAGCTAAGTTTCCCAGCCCACTCTAATTAAACAACCGAATGGCTGAAGTTTCAAAGCGATCAATTTCACTTTCATACGTAATGGTCGATCCATGCAAAATACCCCAGTAATAAAACTGCTTAAGAATAAACCTCTTTGTTCAACGCTATTTGCACACATAAAAAAAACAGCCACCGCGACGGTGGGGGCGACAGTGAGCGTAGGTGTCGGGCTGTCAAATTCAACCACACACGTCTAGCGACAAGAAAGAGATTTGGCTTCGGTGTATCAACTTTAAGCACCTGTGACAAGACATTAAATCATAACCTGAAACGACCTTACATTATATCTACCTTGTTGTGTGGAAGAGGTTGATCAGGGTGTTAAAGTTTGTCCATATAAAATTAAATTTGCATGTTGTGCGGTTTTTTTTTTTTTGAGCTATTAAGAACTAGCGTACCCGTCCCCGCGCGTTGCCGCGGGAATAGAAGAAAGTCTAACGCAATATATAAGAAGGGTTTCATCAATTCTTAGACACCTGATCTTGTTTTGTGAAAGTGAGTTATTTAAATGTAAACTAACGCATGAAAATCTTGAATGTACGTTAATCACTAACAGAAATAATGCGGTTGGAACACACTTTACTGACCGCCAATGTGTCAGTGACGTATAGGGGCGATCTGTGGATCCCCCGATTACACTACCGCAGAGGCGCTGCATACGGCCCCTGGCTCCTTAAAACTAACATAGGCGCCATAGTGCTCACATGATAACCCAGAGCGCCACATAGCATCCTGAAACAATTATACAGATTGCGCTATTCGCTTAAGTTACACAAATCACGCCTGATTCAATTTAGTGAGCGTTTGTAACGCCCCATCCTATTCATTGTCTATTACACTGTTTAGAACGAACGTAGTCGCCATAGCGTTAAAGGGAAAGACCATGGCGCCAAATTGCATCCTGCCGGGGTGGGGGGGGGGGGGGGGGGGGTTGCCCATGCAAAATTAAATCCCCCCTCCCAGGAGTATTCTCAACATCTTCCTAAAGTTTCAAGGCGATGTGATGAGAGATGTAGTAATGCATAAAAGACAAACACACATACACACACACAAATACAATTACATTGCTTTATATATATATATATATATATATATATATATATATATATATATATATATATATATATATATATATATATATATATATATATATATATATATATATATATTGATATAGATAGATACATGACTCATTGCAGAGTGTACACACTGTTTCCTTATTATTAAACAAAAAAGTGTTCGTTGTGAGCAGATTTACACATCCCGTTACTATGAGTCGATTTTTTTTCAATAGTTTATACTGAAGTGGGACTTCATTGAGTTTTTTCATCCATTTCTGTAACACATTACCAAAATAAAAATAACGGCTACAATTTAGTTTGTAGCATTATTAAAAAAAAACCAGATCATTCCGTCATACATATCCGAAATCCTACTCCCACTCGCTTTACACCGAACCAAATTCTAAACTCCCTCCATTCTATGAGGGTACGTCGTTTAAGACCAAACCTTATTGGATAGGCGATATTCTTGCGTAGTCAGAAATAGCAAATCAGTATTGTTTTAAAGTAAACGAGCCGACCCGCATATCATACGCCGCTATTTAGTTGTTTTTTCTACTTTTCAGTTATTCATAATTTGTGAATTCGACACTACCAACGCTGCCACCGAAAATATTTCTTTAAAACACTATAAGTAGCTCGTTAAGAACGATAACCTCCCCTCCTCCCCCCCCCCTCCGTTAAAGTAAACTCCACTTTGTTACCCCCCCCCCCCCCCCCTACGTTTAAAATCGTTTCAACTTAAATTGTCTGCCCCTAATTGTCGTCACTAAACCCGGCTCTGTTTGTAAACATTTAGAGTGAACCACAGCTCACCGGACCATGTAGGGGTGGGGGTGGTAGGGAGCGCGTTTACAGCTTGTTTTCTAGCGTCTCCCAGAAGAGAATTATATATATAGATTCTGTTCAGAGTTTCTTTCCGGCATCTCTTCAGTGGACACATTCGTCCAAAGCACGACCACCCAACGTCTCCGCCCACCACCACCCTCTCGCCCTGCTCGAACAAAATATAATGTATATAGAATATATATATAGAATGTGTATGAATGTATATCAAATGTAATAACATGTATATAGAAAAAAATACTTTTAATGGTGTTCGCCACCTCCCTAAAAAAATGACATCCCCTGATAACTTTAACTTCCACGCACCCACCCACACACAGGGAGAAAATATCTGAAAATAAACCGGGAGTGATCTCCCCTAAACTTTCTCGAATATTCTAATATAACACTACGGGGGATGGCAACTCGGAATATAGACATGATTTTTGTTTACTTAAACTTTTAAAAATAGAATAAAATCTAGTAGAAAAAAAGAATTGCGCACCAAGCGAACGCCAAAACAAAATGTGCATAATAGTACGCAATATTATTAGTACTTTATAAATTTACATGCGTTTTTTTGAGAATTCGGAAATAGCGTAAATTAGTACTTCCGGTCAACGGAAATTACTCAAAATTTGATAGAAGGTAGAGAATTTGATCTTTTACTTATATGTGAAATTTCATTTATCTATCTGAAATAGTACTCAAGTTATAGGCTTTTGAAAAATTCAAAGTAGAAAAAGTACCATATCCGGTTATCGGAAATCGCGCAAAAGTTGATAAGGATCTACGATTTTGATAAAATACCTATATATGAAATTTCATCAACCTAGCTGTAACATTACTCAAGTTATCGTGTTTACATACACACAGACACACACACAGACACACACACACAGACATACGGACAAGATTGCAAAATTATGTTTTTCCGTATCAGTGAGGTGTAAAACGTCGAGATTTGTAAAAATCTCGATTTTTTTTTTTTGCATGATTACAATACTTTCTCTATACTTCGTGTATACGAGAAAGTAAAAAGCAGATTTTCTGCGTTAGAAATATCAATAGTTCACCAGAAGATCAACTTTCCCAGATGTCAGAGAGCCATTGATTTCGACCATAGATTTTCCACCCTACACCTTCGCTGTCATATTCCATAAGCATAATACGGTGGACTTTCAAAGCTTATACATTATATGGAACACGTTTTTAATAAATAGCATAGATGGCATTTGGGGGGTTAGATGGATTAATAATTTTCAATTAATTTCAATGCCGCTTTGAGATACGATTAAATTGAATCCGTAACACAGGGCAAAACTATTTTTTTTCATCTGACTCTAGATCTTTTTTCCGGTTTAAACCGAATTTTAAGCGCTCGTTCAAGATTAAGTGCACCCAGTGTCTTGGTGTTACTCAAGCGTAAAGTCCGCCATATTGGGTGTCGTAGAGTAGGAGTAAATATGGCCGCAGTATAGTAGACGATGGTTTAAACAGCAATTATTGCACGCACATGGAATAGAGGCTGAGCTCTACAACAAGTGAAGCGATGAGGGGGTGGAGGTGGGAGGAGTTGAAGTTTTTGTCCTTAGAAATAATTCATACACATTCCGACCGATTCGAATTCAACTGGTGTCTCCACCCACGTCCACTTGCTACGTCATGGATGTTAGATAGGTTTAGGTTACCGAAATCTTACTCGACAGGTTTAGGTTACCGAGATCTTACTCGACACGTTTAGGTTACCGAGATCTTACTCGACAGGTTTAGGTTACCAAGATCTTACTCGACAGGTTTAGGTTACCGAAATGTCACTTGACTGGTGTAGGTTACCGAAATCTTACTTGACAGGATTAGGTTACCGAGATCTTACTCGACAGGTTTAGGTTACCGAGATCTTACTCGACAGGTTTAGGTTACCGAGATCTTACTCGACAGGTTTAGGTTACCGAAATC